TTTGACTTACAATTTATTTAAAAGACATTGTATATCTTTTAGTATTAGAATCTTTAAAAAGTATATTTCCATTTTCTGTTGACTTTAAAAAAAAAAGGTTTGTACCTATGTTGTTTATTTATTATTTCTTGCTTATATCTTGTAATATGAGAAACTACTTTGACAGTAACAATACACAATGTACTAACCAAAAAAAAAATAAAGATATAGTTTAGTGTAAAGTATGGAAATGAAAGGAAGTGTATTGACACAATAACGGAAGGAGAAAGGAAAGGTATAGCCTTGTGTAATAGCTGAATCATACGTGACTAAATTAGCACTTAGAAATATGAAATGTTAGCATTGTTATAAAATGTATCATCACAACTAATTTATTTATTTGTATTTTTATCATGTATCTTCCCTGTTATATTATGAGCACTACTGAAGCTGAGATAACAAGCTTCTTGTTTAGTCTTTATTCCTAGCTCCTAAATACTGGTAATAGACTCGTTTTATTTTTCTATTTTCTGTTTTTATTAATTTTATTGAGAAACAAAAAGAAATGAGACAGTTTCAAAACTGATTAATAGCACAGTTTCAATAATTAATACATTGTACATTGTTATCTTCTTAGTGGTTATCCATATCATGTCTGCATCTTGTACTACAGATAAACTTGTTTAAAAAAATGGCATCTTATTGAATAAATAAATACACAGATGAATGAAATGTATGAGGACTAGTGAAGCAATTAAAATAAAACTCTTCTGAAAGTCTTCAGATTTTATGGATTTCTTGGGTCTGGTTTTATGCTGAGTTCTAGGATAATGCATATAGATTTATTCCTCAGAGCAAATGATGGGTTATTCCATAATTCTGGTGAGAATATCACTAGAATTCCGTAATTCTAGGCAAAATATCACTAGAATATAACCTTGAAACAACTGCATTATAATGTGAGGTGAAAACATCAAAATTAGACGGTACTTATGACAATGGAGTAGTTTTAAAAATATGTACCATTTTTAATAAATTTGTATATAGTTTTTGTTTTGAGTGATGTTATTTTATTTTCTAGTTGCATTTTAATACAAAAAATGAACTTAAAATGCAATTAGTACCCAGTGTTCTTTATTCTTCTTTTATTTTATTTTTTGTTTCAGGGCAGAGCAACTTAGCACTTTGTATATGTGACTTACACGCTCTACTATGCAGCTGACACCCAGCCTAATAATTCCTTTCAAAAATGTTACTTTGGTAATTTTGAGTGAGCTTTCTAAATACACTTTTTATTAGTATGTTGTAAACTAAAATAAGGAAGGAAGAAATAAAAATTATAAAATCCAATGAATATCTTAGCCTGGGGCTTATGAAACCAGATACAATGTCAGGGAGTAAAGGGATAATATTTGTTTAGGAGTGAGGTTCAGCGAAAAAATCTGCTAAAGAAACAGAAATTGATCCAAGAAATGATGTGAAACAGTGTGATGTGATGGGATGTATGATTTTGCTGGTGAACACTTCACAATGATCTGAGCGACAGCAAGGTGATCAGCAATGTGTGACTTCGTTCCCTATTAATTTTCCAGGAGAGTGTAGGGTGGGGGTGTCCATATCTACTGCCAGTCCATGGAAGAGACAAAGGACTGGCAATTGATTGTCTCAGCTCCTTTCTGTCTTTTATTTTTGTTGATCTGGGTTTACACAAAGCACAACCCACATCTGGGAGTGCACACATGTTTGTGTCCAGTATAGTCCACCCAGCATGCCACTGGGGTGTATTCCTAGGTGTAAAAATGTATGAGTTGTATAGTGGTAGGGGACCTTGTGCTTAGAAGGACCTCATGTATGTTTTAATGCTTTGCTCTTGAGGTTTTGTTTCTCATTGACAGGGTGCTCCATTGTTGAAGAGGGAAAATTCTAGCATGAATTCATTTGGGTTTTGGTCACTCCTTTTCACATGAATCAATCTGAGAAATGTACAATGTGTCTGAACACACAAAAAAAGCTATAGCAGGTTTGAATCTGTTGAGTTATGTCAGGATGGTCAGGGCAGCTTGGAGAACAGCATGCATGAACTATAGAGCCCTCTGTCATTCTGTGTCCACTTGAAATGAGCAGCCTTTATAGAAATTTCAGGAATGGGTCAGTGTGATAGTTAAGAATGTGATACATGTTGGCTTCAAAACAGGAAGAGGCATAACACACATGGTGGAACTATTTTAGTGACAGAAAATATAAGATAGGATAATATATTTTTACCTTAAACAGAGGTTTACATATGTAGGTAAGAACAGTAGCTCTTAAAACATTAATGATGGAATTTTGTCAGTTCAAGTTTTATGCTTTTCTAATATCATATTTGATAGTTTTCCAGGAACCTACCATTTCTTGCTCATAGATATCAATTAGTATCCTATATAGAATGACTTCAATGCTTAGAAAAGTTACTGAAACTGAGAGCAGAAGAGGTATCTTCTTCACAAAAAAATAACTATGGTTCTTATTACACAAAACTTAAATTACTTGATTTTACTTAATGATAGTTATAGACAAAAATCATTTACCAAATCAAAAGCCAAAATCAAATTATATTCAGTAAAAGTTCTTCATTGTGGAGAGCTGTCTCTGGACCAATGGAAATCGATGAAAATCTACAGTCACTCTGTATTTTATCTGGTTATGATAGTGTCCCAATACATTAACATGGTGCTGATATTATAAGGAAGATTATTTTTTGTCCCTTGTGCAGCTGTACAACTAATTTCATATTTGGAGAATGGGGTTGTCATACATTATTGATTGTCTGACAGGCAGGTATAACTTCAGAAGTTTTCTCTTAGTCCTACTTGTAATAATGTCCTACGTGTCAGGCAGCAATGAGAATTTTTCTGGTTGCCAGTCTGTGAGTTTCACTTACACATTCAGATAT